TGATCACATGACTGAAGTCAGGTGGAGTTACGGAGTGCCGTGACTTCCTTCCCGTCTGTTGGTCGGTCACGGAATTTGTACATTGTATATTATTATGTATATGTATATTATTGTATGGGCCTGACGAGGAATTAATCGAAAACAATTGTTTGCTTGAAGCCTCGTGTTTTCTCTTTCTAAACTTGACGTAATAAACGGGAATTCTACTAGAGTTGGAACTTGGAGACATTGTTGAAAATAGGTCTGCCGTTCATCTAGCGTCAATATTCCACCTTTTTGTGCGAATCCACCCAGCAGTATTAGCCTTGTTTCACACAGAGATAATTCTTGCAAAGGGTACTCCAGATGTTACTCTTCACCTTCTTGCATGGATTATCTCTGTAAGATACTCCAGGATTTTACTTTTTAGGCATGGAGTGCTTTTTCATTTCCACAACACAGATGTGATTAGACGATTTCCCAGGGGGGATCTCTGGACAATGATTGCCTGTACTTATCCGCTGAGGGCAAGATTCTTTTTGTTAGTGGCGGTAACTTGATGTCCTATACCCACTAGTGAGTTGCGGGCACATTTTCTGAATATATCTGGTGAAATAAAGTGGCTATTTTGAAATAGCTTGCTGCTTTGAAACACACAAGATATATAAATTATAACTGGCCCACGTAGAAGCAAGTAGAAATATAAATCTGTACAACTCCATCGCGATATACATAAACATATCATCAAATGTAAAATATTTTATGCAACTCCGTCGGGTTCTGTGGTACTGACGACGAGATCGGTGGTCATTTTTGTCACAAATACCCATATATTTATTTTATTCCTTCATTAGCTGTGGCATTTGTAATTCTTGCACATTGCCATCAGTATTTCTTCTGTCTGCTACTACATTTTGGATAGTGGCAGTGCGAAATAAATGTGATGGGCTTTCTACCTAGGCAAACTAAACAGATTACACTTTATTGACATAGATAGCGACTGTCACCCCTAGCAAGCTTTTTTAGCACTTTTCAGCGCCTTAGGAAAATGCTTCCTATTTTGCTGCAGGGTTCCCACAATTCCTATCTGTAATTCTGACTGCATATTTAGCAAGGGTTACAGTTGTAGAACTGGTTCGTGGCAAGCGTATGTGATTTATTTTCTTAATAAAGTTATTGCGGCTTTTTGACGATTTTATTTTAACAGCTGTGTTTTTGAACGTTTTCGTTAAGTTACTTTGACCTTGCCTATCATTTTGAAGCCCGTTTTGCGCTCTATCTAACAATACTGATAATTTAACTCGAAAACATTATTACATGTTTACTGAACACTTCATGCAACATAGACGGAGGACAAATTCGCACAATTTTCTTGTGCCAATTTAAACTTGGTTGAAATGCAGCGGCAACAGCCCATGACATCAACAGTGGGTTTGGTGCTGGAACCACTAATAACCGTACTGCACAATGGTGGTTTTAACATTTTCGGAGAGGTTAGCAGAGGCTTAAAGATGAAGAGCGTTGTGGACGGCCATCGGAAGTAAACGACGATAAATTATGGACCTTGGTTTAAGCGGATCCGCGTAAAACTATTCGAGATCCTGCTTTTGAATTAGCACATCGCATGTGACGACTTTGAAATATTTACGGGAGATCGGTATGTCTAAAAAGCTTGATAATTAGGTGCCGCAAAAGTTGAATGAAAAATATCGTCTTGTTAAGCTGACGTCTTCCCTTCTTCTGCGCCCCGTTTCTCCACCGGATTGTGGCTCGCGATGAAAAGTGACCCCTTTGCAATGATCGGCCATAAGCCACACAATATTTGGACCAGGAGGATCAAGCCGAAAATGGTTTGGTGACTCTTTGTTTGTCTGCAGCTGGTCCGATCCATCACAGCTTTTTGAATCCAGGAGAAACCATTACAGCGGAGAAGTATTGTCAACAAATTGTCCAGTTGCGCCGAAAACTTCAACACAGCTGCCCAACAATGGCCAACAGAAAGGGGTAAATTTTTCTCCTTGATAACGCTCGGCCGCATGTCGCACAAACAACCCTGCGGAAGCTGCACTAGCTGGGCTACGTAACTTTGCCTCACCTACCATACTCCCCTCATCTCTCATCTACCGATTACCACTTTTTCAGGTGTTTGGATAATTTCCTCCTAGAGAAGAGTTTTAAAACCCGAAGGAGATGCTGAAACCGCCTTCGATGATTTCATCGCCCTCAGATCTGCGGAATTTTATTCATCCTGTATAAATAAACTTGATTTTCGTTGACAAAATTCTGTTAATCCAAATGGTTTTTATTTCGATTAAAGAATTACCTTCTAGTCAAGATATGTGCATTTAAAGTTTAAGCCTAAAAGCCGCGTTAACTATTTTTTAGCAACCTAATCCATTGTATAAGAGGTCAGGAGACGAATGATTGTGTTTTTTACTACGCATTGGTGCAACCCCAGTGTAGATCTTTGCATTCAAAATGCAGCCATTCTCACCTTCACCGAGAAGGAAAGACTTGATGCCCCACTTTATGGGCTTGTCCTTGATTTACTGCTTAATGACCAAGCGGTGATTTGTCGGGATCCTCCCCTCTTCTCTGTTCAAGTGTCGGTTTAGCAGATAGAAGTGGAGCAATTTGAGGAGCAGACTTTCCAAGAAAACCCTACTTTTATATATTCTGTTTTATCAATATCTGTGTCTTCCTCATCAGTTATGTGTAGTGAAAACTCCAATAGGCCAGAAATATATCTCGAGTCATGGCATTTTCAAATCAGGTAGTAAGCCCAACAAAGACAGAGCCCTCATTGGTCCAATAATATTGGTGGCTGGGTTTTATACATAAGTATTCCATAGAGATCCTCATTTCAAGAAGAGCCTTCCTTTCTTTCACTGTCATCCTTGAGATTTTTGATATTGTAGGCGTTGGGCTTTGCTAAATGCAATTGATGGGCCCAGAGGTTGGTTTTCCCTGTCAAAATTTTGCCAGAAAGTATCATCCAAAAAAGGATAAAAAGTCATTTGATTCATTCTTTTCTGTGATAGATCCTGACGTGTTCACTGGGCATTTTCTGTCTTCATTCAAATGCAGATCTGTATTTTGTGATACAAATTCCTCCAACCTCCATCACCACTTAAAAATCATCCTCTCACTCGAACTCTCACCGTTTGTGTCACTTGAACTGGAAATGTATTCCCAATGAAATTCTTACTCCTCAGAGTCTGGATCTACCAAAGTATCCATGTACTGTGATGTGCCGTGATAAACATCGCTTTCCTGTCGAAGTTGTTGGTTCATCCGCCATTCGTTTCATTTGTGGATTTTCATTATTTTCACGTCAAACCTCACTCTGTCACTTCAAACACATGGGAACAGACATTTTCACCGGCTAGCCTTGAGGTTTAACCACGTTTCATTGGTTGTCTAGTTTGCGACGCATTTTTTCACCGACTAGGTAAAGTACCGAAAATTAGGTACAGCGTTTCAATGGCGGAATCGAAAATTACCGGCGGAGTTGTAGGGTTACAGTATTTACATCGTTGATTTTAAAGACGAGTTTCGCTTACTTTCCGATGTTTCAACGACTTCTTGCTTACTGACAATGTTACTCTCGGTAGAGGTGTTGGCGGCCGAACATGCTATACCGCACTCTACGTCGCCGTCGTTCAATCACTTGTTTCAAATATTGTGGCACTTTGCCAACCTGTTTGGACCTCATAAGTTGTGCGCATCCATCAGATCGATCAGGATTCGAACCCATGACCACCAACATCTTACACCACCAGTCAGCTTATGCCACTGGGCCACGGGGGACTGCTTCGAACCGTCATGATTTACAAGCTAACTGCCTTGCAATTTACGAAGGTTGCAGAGGACAGCGTTGGCCCCGAAAGGTACGATGTCCACTGACAGTAGCTATGTACGACAGAGCATTTAGCAGCTGTCGGGGCAGATATATTTGATGTACTCATGAGTACGGGATTTTTATATAATCATTTGATGGTTCGTCGCAGCCAGTTCCAAATCAGATAGTCGTCTACATGCCCAGAAAAAATATTTAGCTTCAGTTTCAGCCTGTTGGGCATCCTCAGTAGTGCGCATCCATCGGATCGATCGGGATTCGAACCCATGACTACCAGTGGCCTGCACCGCTAGTCAGCAGCTTACGCCACTGAGACCCGAGGACATTGTGGGATCGTTCTGGTTTACAGATCAACTGCGATATGTATATTTCCGGATTCACAAAATGCTGCATTGTGTGTCATCTTTGTTAAATGAACATTTACATGACCTGAACCAGCGATTAACCCAAACTTTCAAGCTATTGTTAAGAATAAGATTTACGAAACCCATTGCCTGGATGATACTACTCATTATCAGAGCTTTAGCTGTTCTCTCTGTTGCATTGGCTTTTAAACTTCGTTGCTACTGACATCAAAGCCAGTGGTAATACTCATTCTTTCACGGTCAAAACTGCGCTAGCATAAGATGATAATTACTACTACCGGTCGGTAAGGTACCAATTCTGGTGAACGACTTTCCAAAATGACATTTCCAGATGAAGTTGTATTGAATGGAGGGTCGCTTTTCAGACAGTCGTTGTACGATTTTTATTGTCACGCGCAATCTCACTGTTGACCGTTATTCACGTTGAAGCGAACCTTGATCAGTTCGATCACTAGGACCGATGGTAATTGGGCGTTGTTCATCCGAAAACACTGCACACCACGACGACTTCCGACCTTGTTTCATCAGTTAGCTATTCTAGACACGAAAACAGGAACCATTGGGATGTCAGTTAAGACCTCTATCCTTTTAACCACTGGGTCATGACGGGCATTGCTTTTTCACTACAAGTGACTGTGTATACATACAGAGCTAAATGCATTCGCCTGTCAATTTTCCCCGCTTGTGTCTCATGTTCATTGTAGTCATTCGCTACTTTGTTACGTTCCATGGGTCGATATTCTGTTTTCGATGTCACAGTGACCTACTTTTTTGCCTTTTTTGATCCAACCATGTAGTACTACAGAAGCACAGGGAACGCAAAAGATGGTTGTTCGTTTTTCCTTCGGCACTCGGAATTCTTACCGGAACACTCGGCTATACGGGACATAGTCCTAGCGCGCAAACGACCTCGTGCTATATTCGTACAACCGAATTTGCGCAAAGATGCTACCGGTGAGATACACCTGGTTCCCTATGCCCCAACCTATCGCGGGTTATTACAGTCGTTCGTCGACCGCTACTCGGAACTGCCTCTAGGCAAGAAGGCTTTGATTGCGTTGGAATCTGTCTGGCGAAAGGACCAACCCTATTTTAAAGATATTCCTCTATAGGCATTAGTGATATTACAATCGTTTACTTTCCAACTTCATGAGAATTCCGATTTTGTTATGGAATGCATTATGGAATTTTTTATACACACTTCCTTAATGGATCATTATCAGCGTTTTACTTTGTGCGAACCCAAATTGCGAAATGCCCCTGAGGCGTAACTTTGCTGATGGTGCTTTTCACTTCAAAGCAGTGTTTGATCAAGTTTCAATATTTAGTAGTTTATCGACAGCAGTCACCTGGTGCCATTCGGTTGCTGGTTGTCACTCTTCCAGCTCACTGGAATTACCTAGAAGGAACGACCGTGAATTGCCCTTTATGTCGCTTCTATACATGTATGGGCTCTTCTGGATCTCCAACAAGATAATCTTTGGGGCGCGGGCGACCTGTGTTTTATTGGATCCCACTGATGTGCTGGCGCCTTTACATGCATTTCCTGATCCCAGTTACACGGCATCGTTGCTTAGATGCGAGCTCTCTTCACTGGTTCTTACCTTCGCCGGACAGCGATCAGTCGATCGCAAACTGTCTCTTCTCGCCGCCGATCGCTTCGTATTATTAGAAATGACATGTGTAGACTTACTCATCTATCCATGCCTTCTTTTTGATGGTTGCTGTGTTTGTTTTTCTCCGACACCTTGCCCCACTGGGTGTCCGCTCACTGACATCGCTCTAAGACGTGATACTGCCAACAAGGAAACATAGTCGAGTTGGTTCCGTACGTTTCCACGAGGTCAGCCTGCAGAGGCATAATCAAGGGTTTATTTACAATTCCAGCAGATCAGTCACAATTCGGTCGAAAATTACTACAGAGATATCGAGAGACAGTATTGTCCACTCAGACCAAAGGTACACAGAAAGATTCGGGGTAACAAGCATCTTCTGAATGCAATGCTTCTTAGTATTATTATAAATAAATAAATCTTATTCTGGAATACGCGAGCTACGCCCCTAGTAGCTATGATGTAGTACTGCTAAGCAGGTAACGCACGCTTCCGAGACCCGTAATCCCAGCAAGCAGAACATGTCTGGACAGCATAAGGTTTATCAATCAATTGGTGAAAATACATGATTCACGGAAATTCGCGTTGCAAGTCCGGGGACGTGTGTGCGCTGGTTGGGTGGCGGTGTGAGCGTTAACAGATCTGCGCACAGCTGGCGTAAACAGATCCATGGTATATGAGGCGTAAGATAGCGGATGCTTAACAAATGCCATCGGATGGCCTGTATGGGAACTACAACATGGTGAAAGAAGACAAAATGATAAAATAAAAATCGTTTTGGTGAACTTACCAGTGTTCGCACAGAGGCATGCAGAAAGAAACCAACAATGCAGGTTGTGCAACCTTCGTGTCGTTATATCCTCTGTGCGGTGGTCTTTCTCAACAGCAGCTGCAGCTCGCCAAATCTTTTAGTTTTGTCTTACATCTTTAACAATACCATTCGTCAAGTGTGTGATAATACTAGTCCACAACAACGATCGGTTACTAGAGGAACCGAACAGCGGACGAACATTAGGTTTGGTGCTCTGGAGGAGAGGATGCAGCAAGAAAGAGAGTGGCACCCTCGAACCCAAAGCTGCGTACACGACCCGTATCCCACAGATTATTCGGCGTCAACTTTTCCATTGCCTTCTTCTCATTTCACCTTTTCAGGTCGTAGATTGAATGCACACAGGGGACTTGGTAGTGAAGCCGTCAATATGACAACCACAATCGGCCGCCACTTGAAACACGCGACAGTTTCACGCACACCATCTATCCGTATGCAGAATAATGAACAATAAACAATGAATTTATATGGCTTCAGAAGCGTTGCTTTACAAGTCTAGTTATATAGTTGGTAGGGATATCAAAATAATAATGATAATAATACCAATAATAAGCATAATATTAGTAAAGCAGATAGTAGTTTGCATATGAAAATAAGAACATATACTTTGCTCCGCTGTAGTTCCGCAACCCTTAGGTTCACAGTACTCACCGTTAACATCAAATAAAGCCATGATAAACTCCAAGTGTGGGGTGGAGACCTAGCGCTACTTGAAAAAATGGAAGTTTATGAGTGCGCCATCCAACCTTCTTTTAAATACTATTAGTGTCGGTTCAGAGACGACCGATTCTGAGGGAGCATACCACGTGTGACAGACACGAATGGAAAAGAAATTTCTGCGGCACTCCAGACGGCTACACTGTTCTGAGTTTCAATGAGTGTTCCCTCAGGTTTGTATTGGTGTTGACTTGTAGTGCGGAGCGGCGCACATGATGTGGGTCTTGCAGAATCAAATATGCCATAATCAGGTCGCCTCGTAGTCTGCGATAGCTTCCACTGAACATCCCAAATCGTTGCTGCCTCTCCTGGTATGAAAGATTGCGCATTCCAATTACGTTCTTAGAGGCCCGACGTTGTGGCTGCTCCAGTGCATTAAGGTCGTGTTTCAGCCATGGATGCCAGGCTTACACTGCATATTCGACATGAAAGCTAACATACGCACTGAGCATCTGTCGAAATATGGAGCCGTTTATGTGTCCAAATACCCGTCGCAACAGCCCGACGTGTTGGTTTTCAGTCTTCGAGGCCATTTCGGATTGCCTGGAGCAACCAGTCATTTTGAACCAAGACACCCAAGCCACATTCGAGAGTTGATTGTTGTAGTATATTCGTTCCGAGTCACTATGAGTAGCTGCCGTGATGTCTGACGGAAAGTACCTTGCATTTACTGACGTTGAACTGCAGTAACTTGGGTTGACCATTGATTTATCGTATCTAGGTCACTCTGAAGAAGATGTTGGTCGGCGTTCACTTGGATCCGGCGCAAATCATGATATCTTCGGCAAATGTTGGGAAGTTTGAGGCGATTCCCTGTGCAAGGTAATTAATAAACACCAAAAATAAACATGGACCTAGTACTGGCCCTTGCGGCACACCACACTAGACTTGTATAGGGTCCGATAAAGGACTCCGAACTCTGACCACTAATTGCCGTTGAAGTAGCAAGTTGGCAATCCAGTTTAAAAGAGCGTCGCAGATCCCGTAATGCTGGAGCTTGGAGAGTAGCATCCGACAATCTAGATGATCGAAAGCCTTTGAAAAATCCAGGTAAATCACATCAACTCCTTCTTCAGCGTCAGCTGACTCGATCCAACTACTGCGTGCGATTAGCAAATTCGTTGTGCATGACCGCTATCGACGGAAGACGTGCTGCTCATGCGTGATGATGTTACAGTTTTCCAGACAACACACCAATGCATCGGTAACTATGGATTCCATAACATTGGGGAGTACAGGAAGAAGGGGTACTGGTAATTGGAGGGCTCAGTTCTGCTTCCACCTTTGTGAATCGGGGTTATTATTCCAAGGTTCCATATAGCGGGAACTTGATTCTAATCTAAGCAGCGCTAGCAATCTGAGCTAATGGTCCTGCCAGCTGGCTCGCTGCTGCTCTTAGTGCCTCTGGACGAGTGGTCTCGACACCCGGCGAGCTGTGTTTGCGTAGAGACGTCAGCTTTTGCAATACGGCCTCCGCGGTAAAAGTGCTGTAGTTTAGTCCTGGCGGAGAGACGACAACGGTTGAAAGATCGTTTGCTGGCAAGACCCACTGAAACGTGGGGACGTATTACATCCGCGGCACGTTTGCTGCTTCTACAACCATTCTTGTAGGGCCATCGGCCGTCCTGAGTAAATGAGATGCTTGTCTCAACTTTCGTAGGCTATTGACTTGCTTGTACAGCAGTTTGTGGTTAGCACTGAAGGTTTTTGCGATGTTACACTGATAGGCGATTTTGTTTTTTCTTAACAGTTATGTGTAGCGGTTGCGTTGGGCTAGTTAATTGTCCCAAATTTCAAGTGCTGGAGCTTCTCTGTACAGTCGCCATGATGCCTTGCGTACTGGCATCCATTTTCGAGTTCTGCTCTTGATGAAAGACGCTGATTTACACGTATTACAAACACCTAGCTCTGAAGCCTCTGCAATCAGCTGACTGAATTGGTTGACGAACTCTAGCCAGGCGACTTCGGGGGTTCTTCGGCAGGGAACGGCCAAGTTGTAGCGCTGATCAGCTGGGCTAATCGATCGTAGTTTGTGATTGTGCACACAGCCTCATCGTTCTCATTCCGATATTCCGCATAGCAGACGAAGTTGAAACTAATCACTGCGTGATCACTGCGTACCAACGGGCAGTGCATAACCAACACATTAATCATATGCTCCTCGTTGATAAGCAAAAGATCCGGCACAGATGGCCTGTTACCTGTTCTGAACCGGGTGGACAAAGCGATGTCATTGTAAAGAGGAACAGTAATTACGAGGTCTTGCAGATCGGCTTTGAATTGTTCTCCGGTCTTTGCAAGAGTTTTTAAACAATGTACGTTGAAATCACTCATGCTAAGTGTGTGAGCATACTTTCGCTTTAAACTACATCTTAAAGCAACTGCAAGGTGGAAGTCTGTTTCGGATGTAGGCTTAAGGTGGAGGTACGCCAAGAAAATAAGGCACGCGTCTCTGACTTTTAACTGCAAGCGGCACCAAAGAGAGTCGGGGAACTGCGAGTCTAAATCCTCCACGGCTTCGCACTGTAAGTCGCTTCGATAATATAGAATTACTCCTCCTCCTTTTGTGAGCCTATCGTTCCAGATCAGCGACATGTCCGTGGCGAAACTTCAGCGTCCGTCATTCCCGTGTGCAACCACAACTCGGTGATACCAATGCCCCGGAAACTTGGCAATCTTTCAGTTCGACCAGTTTATTAAAAAGATCCGGAGCATTCATATACAAGCAGGCCAGTTTCTCGGTCTATAGGAGCCCACAGGGGGCTAAAGAGCTCAAGTGTGGGGGAATGTCGACCGATGAGAGGTCGGCAGTTACACGTTATTTTTGATGGGATAATGCTACCTAGTCTGAAACTTGTTTGGACCAAGGTGCGTCCCTATCTTCGTTTAGACCTACGTCAGAGTCAAGTGAAGCGGCAGTCAAGTTTAGCTTGTGCTAACGCCGACACGTTTGCTGCTACAAGTGGTTTGATATTTGAACTTTGCAAAGTTTCTGCGACATTTAACCGAAGTTCAGAAGGAAGCATTTTCCGCCATCGATCCAGAACATCCGTTGCTTTTTGCTCTGACTGAACTACAATTTGTAGGATTCTAGAGCCGCATCCACTATAATTTGGTGAGTGACGTATCCTGGTGAGCCATAGCGCCATACTA